ATATATTTATATATATACATTTTACATATGTGTGTGAATTATATTATGTATATTATATATAGTGTGTATGAAATATGATCTAATTTGCACTTTTGTTTGCAGACAGTGCAAACAAATAGTACACTATCTGTCTATGCTGATATATACAAAGTAAATAAAAAGTATAATGATAAAAAATATGACATGTACATTATTTATTCTGTACTTTCATAACCATATTTTAATGGCAGTAAATTCAAATGATTTTATAAATCACATATTTGCATATTCTATGACTTAAAGGTACCAATTCCCAAAGTAAAACATTTGGGTGTAAATGCAGGATGAAGGACACACATGATTATAACACTATCTGACCAAAGTAGAACATGGTAGCAACCTTATTTAGAATCATCATCATGTTTAGTATAAATGATTTATTGCATTATTAATTCTTATTTAGATATTTGTTAAATTTTAAAATATTATAATAAATTATTACTTACTTCTACAGTCGAGACCATTACCAATATATCCTGTTTTGCAGTGGCATGAAAAGCTACCAAGAAGATTAATGCAGTCGGCTTCATGATGGCAATTTGCTTTTCCAATAGTACATTCATTAATATCTTTAGAAAAAAATTATTTTCAGTATCAAAATAATACGTTTTTTGAAAGTTAAATAATTTTAAAATTTCCTACCGATACATGTAGCTCTTTCTCCATTTACATCATCTTCATATAAATATTCATATCCTTGATCACAAATACATCTAAAATTATCACCTTCTACAATGCACTTACTGTTAGCCCCACATTGATATTTACCTTCTTTGCAAGGATCTTCAGCTAAATTTTTTCAAATAAATAAAACTTTATTGTTTATTATTATGAACTATTTTTTTGCTTACTAATTTGAATTTTTATTTTATTAGTAAATACTGTATATTCAGTTTAGAATAAAGTTTACTTTTATAAGATCTAAAGCTCTTCAAATTTTATATAAATAATAATAATAAAAAGAAAAATTTTAAAGAACTATAAAAATGTTCATAATTGATGAAATAGTTTCACAAATGACAAAGCACACACTTTGCAACAGACCTTTACTTTGTCTGTTGCAAAGTAAGCTATATATTGTATGCTATAGCTGGTTTTTATAGTTATTTAAAATGTTTATTTTAAAAAGTGAAAGAGCCTTCCTTTTTTATAAGAATTTTTTACAATTTTTGCAATTTTAACTTAATAATAGTTCACTAATCAGTTTAAAAAATTTAATAAACTCCAATTGCATAGGACTGATGCAGGACCTATTTCAGAAATTTGGTTGCTGGAAGCAGAAAGGAGACCTTTTTGCAGTCACAGTGTTTTTATCAATTTAATATGCCACTGTAAAATTGAAACCATCCTGTTGTTTTCTAAGGTTTAGATTTGAACAACAAATTTCCATTTCCAAAAGTTGAAAAATTATGGACATAAAATCTAATAGTTTTCACTGTTCATATTTTTAGGCTGCAATTTGAAAAAAATGTAGACCTATAAATTCCCACTGTTGTCAGTCTGTCTGTCTATCTGCCCTTCTTTAATCTCGAACAGTGTTAGATTAATGAAAGTCAAGACCAGATATGAAAAGCTTAGGGACAGGAGGCTCCAATTAACTATATACTTCCACTTTGGGCCAGAAGTCATGTTGTTTCGATTAAAAAATTTTTCTCCTGAACAGAGTTAGATAGATAACTGGCATGACTTCATTGTTGACAGGAAAAGTATGATGTACAGGGGCAATACACTACCAAACTTAAGTGCATTGTGATGAAAAATTGCATCCCAGCATTATGATAATGTCATAATAAGGGGGGCGTGACTTGACCGTGAGCGCTGCTGGTGACTTTGTTTCTACACCTCGATGTAAATCTAGAATTTAGTGTATTTTTTCAATTTTATTATCTGAATTAACCAAAAGTGTTTAATACTAATAAGAAATAACCAAGTTCGAGGAAAATTATTAATTAATAAGTATGCAACGTTCACCAAAAAAACGTGGTAGACCGTCAACTAATAGAAGCAAACCGGAAAGCAAAAAGACGCAACCAGGTACATCTAATTTCAAGCTTATAACNATTTCTCAGTATTTCAGAAGGCATTCTCAGAGCCACTTTCCTGCTAAGTACCAAATCATATGCACAAGGAGTCTTCAAACGTGTGTTAGCAAAGACAGTACACAAATGTGTGTTGTGTGTTATGCCACTGCACTAAGAAGGAAACTACAAGAGATGGCCCCCCTCAAATTTGGCCAACTTTGATATATATCATAGTAACTACCCTTCTAAAACCACTCAATGCAACCCAAGCATTCATGAAAAAAATGAGTTTAAAATTTTCTGTGATCTTTATGTACTGTTATATGGATATGTTAAAACCAGTATAGCTAAGTAGATAAGATGTTTAACTATTATAGTATACTGTGTTTCAAGTTCAAATCTTACTTTTAAAAATTTTTTAATCTGCTCTGAAATGGATTATTGTACAAAGTATTTTTCTCATTTTAGCATAGAAATGGTATAACAACAAAATACTAATTTTATTTGCCATGCACTTTAAGCATTTTATTCATTGTAATTTCCAAGTAGATATGTAGCAATACTATGCAATAACAAAAATCTTCCTTGCAAGTGTTTAATTATTGGTGTAGCAATATGAGTAAATTGAGGGTCATGTAGTACCAACCTTTTTTCTTTATTATAATAAATTTAATAATTTTATTTAATTCAAAAATTTTACTTATTACTTAATAGTGTAAGAAGTGGTCTAACTGCCTTCCTTTAGAAAAAATTATTTTATATTAATAACAGTTATCCAAATTATAATCTGAATATAATTATTATAGAATATTTGGGCTTGGTTGTTTATGTATCTACAATGATTTGTGAATAGAAATTAAACAGAAATCAATAAATGCTTGAGATAGCAACTTCTAAATTGCATACCAGTAATTAATTACCTTGCTTTTGATGGCTGCTTTGAAAGCACAGTATATGGTAGGGCAGGTTATACAAAGGTTTTATTTTTATTCTTTAAATTTTTTTATTCAGGACATATGCCATTATGAGTTGTGTGTCATCACAGGTTATCTGCCTGAAATTATGGTACTATGTTTTTTAAGTAAAGCTTATATTTAGTAGCTTTACAAAGTATGATAATTTCTATATAAGAATAAATTGAAATTCTTACCACTTTGTGTACATTGATAGCCATCTCCTATATATCCTGCATTGCATTGGCATTGATATTCTCCAGTAGAATGGTCATAAATACATTGAGCATGTGGATGACATGTATTTAGTGTATTACAGTCTTCTGTTATAAATTTTTAAAATTTTAATTAAATTTGATTAATAAAATTATAGTTATTAAAATACTGTTCTTAATAATATAACTTTGACTCATCAAAAATGTAACAAGTTTATGAAATTTGTTTCAAGGCTAAAAAATACCTAAATAAAAATACTTTTAAATACTTTTATTTATGTATTTTTTTTTAGCCTCTACTGGCTTCATCAGTTGGAATATATAATGAGCCACAGAAAATAATATAGTTTAAATTTAAGTTTTTTTCCTTATTTTTATTATTGATAATATGTCAAATTTCTAAAATTTATCAGATGTTATTTATATTAAAAATTATTAAGCTAAATTTTTAATGATGACTTACTTGCAACGCAATAATATCCATTACCAGTAAAACCTTGTTTACATGAGCATGCATAATTTCCAGAAAAAGAATCATATGTGCAGTCAGCATCACTATGACAGTTATGAGCAAAATTACATGACTGTGTATCATCTACACAAATAATTCCATTTCCACGATATCCTTCACGACACTGACACTGATACTGCTGAGTTGCATCATTTAATATACACTCAGCAAAAGGATGACAGTCATTGTTAAAGCGACAATCTCTAGTATTTTGATTTTCTTCATCTTGGTAACATATGTATCCATTTCCATTATATCCTTCATTGCAGATGCAAACAGCAGATTGATTTTGAAACACCTTTGGTCCCATACCTGTCGGATTATCAAGGGACAACTGTACTGAATTTCAGATGGATAACCTGCAGGTTATTTGAATTTGAAAGGGGTGTGAGTTATTCAATAGGGCAGGTTATATGCCAATTCTAAATTCCAGTCACAAGTAAGGTTGATTCAGACTATCTGACTGGCTGGTGGTAGGCAAACCAACCCACCAGACTGACAATTTTCTGTCTCATGTTTGTGAAAAATGACACCAAGTGTTTGAGTATAGGCTATTTCTCACTGTTTTACAGCCTTGACTTAGTGATGTATCAATGGATTAAAATTTAATTTTTTAATAAATATTTGAAATTAAGATACAAATTAATTTCACTCTAATACAAAATACAAGAAGCCAAAAAAGTTAAATTTTTATACAATTATTATTTAAAATTTAAAAAAGCTTTAAGAAATAAAATTATTTTCTGTTTAATTTTTTCTGAGTATTAAATAATTACTACAGGACAACGGAAATTAGTCATGAAATAACAATGATAAATTATACTTATTTATTTTTACACTTAATTTACATAATTGGGACAGTTTGTAAACACTCACTAGCCACATCCATAATTAAATTATGGATGTGACTAATGAGTACAGAGAGAAATTTCTCAGTATTTCAGAAGGCATTCTCAGAGCCACTTTCCTGCTAAGTACCAAATCATATGCACAAGGAGTCTTCAAACGTGTGTTAGCAAAGACAGTACACAAATGTGTGTTGTGTGTTATGCCACTGCACTAAGAAGGAAACTACAAGAGATGGCCCCCCTCAAATTTGGCCAACTTTGATATATATCATAGTAACTACCCTTCTAAAACCACTCAATGCAACCCAAGCATTCATGAAAAAAATGAGTTTAAAATTTTCTGTGATCTTTATGTACTGTTATATGGATATGTTAAAACCAGTATAGCTAAGTAGATAAGATGTTTAACTATTATAGTATACTGTGTTTCAAGTTCAAATCTTACTTTTAAAAATTTTTTAATCTGCTCTGAAATGGATTATTGTACAAAGTATTTTTCTCATTTTAGCATAGAAATGGTATAACAACAAAATACTAATTTTATTTGCCATGCACTTTAAGCATTTTATTCATTGTAATTTCCAAGTAGATATGTAGCAATACTATGCAATAACAAAAATCTTCCTTGCAAGTGTTTAATTATTGGTGTAGCAATATGAGTAAATTGAGGGTCATGTAGTACCAACCTTTTTTCTTTATTATAATAAATTTAATAATTTTATTTAATTCAAAAATTTTACTTATTACTTAATAGTGTAAGAAGTGGTCTAACTGCCTTCCTTTAGAAAAAATTATTTTATATTAATAACAGTTATCCAAATTATAATCTGAATATAATTATTATAGAATATTTGGGCTTGGTTGTTTATGTATCTACAATGATTTGTGAATAGAAATTAAACAGAAATCAATAAATGCTTGAGATAGCAACTTCTAAATTGCATACCAGTAATTAATTACCTTGCTTTTGATGGCTGCTTTGAAAGCACAGTATATGGTAGGGCAGGTTATACAAAGGTTTTATTTTTATTCTTTAAATTTTTTTATTCAGGACATATGCCATTATGAGTTGTGTGTCATCACAGGTTATCTGCCTGAAATTATGGTACTATGTTTTTTAAGTAAAGCTTATATTTAGTAGCTTTACAAAGTATGATAATTTCTATATAAGAATAAATTGAAATTCTTACCACTTTGTGTACATTGATAGCCATCTCCTATATATCCTGCATTGCATTGGCATTGATATTCTCCAGTAGAATGGTCATAAATACATTGAGCATGTGGATGACATGTATTTAGTGTATTACAGTCTTCTGTTATAAATTTTTAAAATTTTAATTAAATTATTAAAACAAGCAAAACTCATGATGAAATCCTGTTTAAAATGTTACAAAATTTTTAACAATAAAGAAAATAATTTTAGTTGTGATAATGTTAATAAAATTATTTTCTGTTTAATTTTTTCTGAGTATTAAATAATTACTACAGGACAACGGAAATTAGTCATGAAATAACAATGATAAATTATACTTATTTATTTTTACACTTAATTTACATAATTGGGACAGTTTGTAAACACTCACTAGCCACATCCATAATTAAATTATGGATGTGACTAATGAGTACAGAGAGAAATTTCTCAGTATTTCAGAAGGCATTCTCAGAGCCACTTTCCTGCTAAGTACCAAATCATATGCACAAGGAGTCTTCAAACATGTGTTAGCAAAGACAGTACACAAATGTGTGTTGTGTGTTATGCCACTGCACTAAGAAGGAAACTACAAGAGATGGCCCCCCTCAAATTTGGCCAACTTTGATATATATCATAGTAACTACCCTTCTAAAACCACTCAATGCAACCCAAGCATTCATGAAAAAAATGAGTTTAAAATTTTCTGTGATCTTTATGTACTGTTATATGGATATGTTAAAACCAGTATAGCTAAGTAGATAAGATGTTTAACTATTATAGTATACTGTGTTTCAAGTTCAAATCTTACTTTTAAAAATTTTTTAATCTGCTCTGAAATGGATTATTGTACAAAGTATTTTTCTCATTTTAGCATAGAAATGGTATAACAACAAAATACTAATTTTATTTGCCATGCACTTTAAGCATTTTATTCATTGTAATTTCCAAGTAGATATGTAGCAATACTATGCAATAACAAAAATCTTCCTTGCAAGTGTTTAATTATTGGTGTAGCAATATGAGTAAATTGAGGGTCATGTAGTACCAACCTTTTTTCTTTATTATAATAAATTTAATAATTTTATTTAATTCAAAAATTTTACTTATTACTTAATAGTGTAAGAAGTGGTCTAACTGCCTTCCTTTAGAAAAAATTATTTTATATTAATAACAGTTATCCAAATTATAATCTGAATATAATTATTATAGAATATTTGGGCTTGGTTGTTTATGTATCTACAATGATTTGTGAATAGAAATTAAACAGAAATCAATAAATGCTTGAGATAGCAACTTCTAAATTGCATACCAGTAATTAATTACCTTGCTTTTGATGGCTGCTTTGAAAGCACAGTATATGGTAGGGCAGGTTATACAAAGGTTTTATTTTTATTCTTTAAATTTTTTTATTCAGGACATATGCCATTATGAGTTGTGTGTCATCACAGGTTATCTGCCTGAAATTATGGTACTATGTTTTTTAAGTAAAGCTTATATTTAGTAGCTTTACAAAGTATGATAATTTCTATATAAGAATAAATTGAAATTCTTACCACTTTGTGTACATTGATAGCCATCTCCTATATATCCTGCATTGCATTGGCATTGATATTCTCCAGTAGAATGGTCATAAATACATTGAGCATGTGGATGACATGTATTTAGTGTATTACAGTCTTCTGTTATAAATTTTTAAAATTTTAATTAAATTTGATTAATAAAATTATAGTTATTAAAATACTGTTCTTAATAATATAACTTTGACTCATCAAAAATGTAACAAGTTTATGAAATTTGTTTCAAGGCTAAAAAATACCTAAATAAAAATACTTTTAAATACTTTTATTTATGTATTTTTTTTTAGCCTCTACTGGCTTCATCAGTTGGAATATATAATGAGCCACAGAAAATAATATAGTTTAAATTTAAGTTTTTTTCCTTATTTTTATTATTGATAATATGTCAAATTTCTAAAATTTATCAGATGTTATTTATATTAAAAATTATTAAGCTAAATTTTTAATGATGACTTACTTGCAACGCAATAATATCCATTACCAGTAAAACCTTGTTTACATGAGCATGCATAATTTCCAGAAAAAGAATCATATGTGCAGTCAGCATCACTATGACAGTTATGAGCAAAATTACATGACTGTGTATCATCTACACAAATAATTCCATTTCCACGATATCCTTCACGACACTGACACTGATACTGCTGAGTTGCATCATTTAATATACACTCAGCAAAAGGATGACAGTCATTGTTAAAGCGACAATCTCTAGTATTTTGATTTTCTTCATCTTGGTAACATATGTATCCATTTCCATTATATCCTTCATTGCAGATGCAAACAGCAGATTGATTTTGAAGCTGAATACAGCTTGCATTAGGATCACACTGTATATCTGCACAAGTGTCCATTCCTTTAATTTAAAATATAAAAATTATTAAAATTTAATTAATGCATAGTTTCATATGAATACTGTATTAAGTTTTCAAATATGTAATAATTTTTATAACTAAGTTTTAGAAATATTATTTTATTTTTATTAAAATAGTACTGGACATAGGGTATATATAAAAACAAGCATGAACTTCTGATAATCAAATCACTAAACACTGAGTTAATTTTAGACTATAAATTATTGTTAATTATTGAAACAAATTTAATCAAAAGATAGTTATCATATTGTATTAATATTTACATTAATTTAAGAATATTCCAGAAGAAACATTGACCCAGAGTGGGACTCAAGTTTACATCTGTTTATCACATAGGTGTGCTGTAGCAGATTACATGTGATTCAGTTACATGCTATTCCCTTACAAAATTTGCTAACTGGGTCAAAGCTATTATATATTGGGGCAACTGCCAGAATGCTTTTCCTCTGTCTTGTGGAGCATTGTAAAGATGATGTGCATAATAGGTGTACAACAGAACTAGCTAAACAAATAATGAAGGATAAGTTTGATCTACTTTGGTCACAAACTTTATTTCTAAAATGCTGTGGGGACCAAAAACACTATTCATCTGGAATCTCTTTTCATTGTGTCAATGCCACCATGCAACTCCCCATGCTTGATATACCAAAGCTGTGGCTAGCATTGAATAAACATCTAAACTCTTACATTGTGTATTTCATGATAAAAAACATCTCATTTCATCAGTGGTGCTGCTATGTATAGGAAATCCTTGTTAATTTGAATTTGGATAATTCATAACTGTACTTTTGTCCCAGCCAGGGATATAGAGATTTACACATTAAGGAATTTGGTTAGTTTGAAATACAGCTACTTTGAAATTTGAAATGAAAATTCTGTCCAAACTATGATATGCATACATTAACTTGTTCATTTAGATTGAAGTGCATTCATACTGTAAGAGAACAGTAGACCAAGAACAACTCAAATCTGGTCAATATGGCTTTGCTTTTACAGTAACACATTTTCAGATGCCACCTTACACATGGATGATCCTTTTTTTTCTCTTATCTCATAAAATATAACTGGTTTTTGGAATTGCAAAATTGGGCTACAAGTATTCAGATATTTATAGGGCTCCAGGCTACTACATTTTGGGCCTCTTCAAAAATAATTTGGGCAACATTTCAAGGAATTCTGCTTTGCTTTTTTATAAAACCTATCTGGCAACCTATGAGGTTCTCACCTGACAGGTACTATTTATATGCAGTTTATTTATATTAGTACTAGCAGATGACTCCTGCGTTGTCTGTACAAAAATAACAACAAAAAAGATTAAGATTATTAGATTATTTAGTACTTCTAATCCTTATATTATATTATTTGATTTATATAACTACGAAGGTAATGTTAGGTAAGGGTTTATCACACCAAGTGACCAATCTACAACATTTAAAAAAACTCTAAATTCTATAGTAGAGGAATAAAGAACTTTTTGACTACTAATTAATACTGGTCTATTATTAATATTTGAAAAGTGATCCGTTTTGGATAGGTTATGATGGCCCTGCACTTGATCGAAATTGCTAACCTTAACATCAGAAAGATATGACTTGATTAAATAAAAAAGTCTTGTAAAAATGTGAGAATAATTGCTTTTATGTGATGATAAAGTGTTTATATTTTGGAAGCAGATTGTATAAACTACATAGGAAGTACATTCCCGCAAATATGACATTTATTGAAAAAGTATTGGGCTGCAATTTAAAAACAATCGTAGACCTATAAATTCCAGCTGTTGTTCGTCTGTATGTTGTCTGTCTCTGTCTTTTTCTTTAATCTCGAGAAGTTAGGTAGATGAAGGTTGAGACCAGATACGGAAATCTTAGGGGAGGAGGCCCTGATTAACTATATATGAACTTTTGATGCAAACTGGAAGTCATGCTATTACATTTCAAAACTTTTCTCCCAAAAGATGTTATAGATGACTGGCACAACTCTATTGTTAAAGGAAAAGTATGATGTACAGGGCAAGACATTACTAATAATTTGTGTGGAAAGCATATGTTTTAAATTAAATAAATTAAAAATATGATTAAAACTTAAAGCATTGTGACGTTATCACACTAAATAATTGCTTGTTAGAATCAGTTTCATTTATTTGGTTACGATAACACGACATGTGCGCGATCTGCCCAAGGTGATGCATCCCAGGATTATGGGACCTATTTAGGTGTTACTAACGTGAAGAAACCGCGGAAAATATGTGGCCGTTGGCCAGGCCCGAACCCATGACCAATGTTTAGTGATTTTATCCACTTGGCTACTGGAAGGCATTTATTAGAATTAAGAAAGTACCAAATTGTTAGATGTGAAAAATTAAATTAACGAAAATAGCGTTCTGTATACGTAGCCCTATTCCGTTTTCTTAATAAATTACATGTTACATGGTATTTGGCATATTTTAGAGAAATATGTAAATCTCGGATAATTCAAAGTCACGATTATTTTGTCTCTTGAATTTCAAACTAACGAGGATTTCCTTTAACTACATGTAATTCAATTTACAATGAGTTAGCAAGGTGGCTACATAATGAAATATCAATCTTATCTGAATCAGTTCAAACTTGGATCTCATGGCATCATTATTGTTAGTAGTATAGATGCATGGTTCTCTCTCTCTCATCACACTGGCCATGTGTAATTGTGGTTGGCTATAGAGCCTAAATTTTCTATTACCTTATATTCAATCAACCAATGAATGAACTGTTCAATCAACTAATAATTTTAACAATTTGAATAAATTATTAAAATTATGTCTTAGAAGATAATTTTATTATTTAATTACAAGTTCTCACTTCATTTAAATGTATTTCAGGTTTCTTCTCTTGGTTCCTATGGAGGTCTGCATATTTGACAAGATTAGGAAGTTGGAGATCAAGAATGCAGGTGCCTATGGATTGGTTAAAAACACTTCTTTTTGGAAGAGATATTTCTAGGCTCTAACTTTCATGCATAATAAATTAGAATTAAGTATAAAAGAGTTTTGTATAGTTAAATTGCAAAAATAAAGTGTTAATGTGAAAGAGAACATAGTTTAGCATGTTCTTATTATGATTCAGTTTTGTACAGATTTATTATTTTTTTTAAATAAAGCATTTAAATTGTTTTGTATTTACATTTTAAAGAGTTTTTTTTATTTTATAGTTTATATTAATACTAATTTTTTAATCATTATTCAACATACAGTGCGATCTTAAAGTCCCTCCTTAGTGGGTCATGCTCACGTAGCTCANTAACCTAAATTTTGATATAATATATAAACAAATAATTCAAATAATGAATGATTACACTCCAAAAATGTCAACGTCTTTCAGGGATACGTGAATCTTTTAACATCTCCCGAATACTCCAAAACGACTCATCTCAAGATTATAGAAATATTTTAAACAGTCTGAACTGAATAAAAAAGATCTCTACAGTCTGTATAACTTTTTCATTGAAATCACAAAAATGTTGTAAATCTGAGCCAGTATATTAAATATTACCAACATTGTACATCTGACTGTTAATGTAAATAATATTATTATAACTATCAAATTGTTTGATACTGATATCCTGTATATTATGTAAATATTACTAAAAATTTATAATATTCCATTGTATGGCCCCCTGCAACAGGGACACTTCCCTTTATGCTAATAAAGATTATTATTATTATTATTATTATGTCATAATAAATAATTGCTCATTCTATATAAAATTTTTTTCTAATTTCTTTTTAATAATTATAAATATATAATTATATATAAATTATAAAGAAACTTACATGTTAATGGTGAGATCTTGTTAGACATTGCATAACGAACAATTTGTTCTTTGTCATCGTAAACAATAAAATTTCGAGTTACTTTCAGTCTCATTATATCTAGTTTAGGATCTTGAGGTTCAAATTCACAAATTGTATAGGATATTGTTTGATCAACAGTAAATGGTACTTCCAAATTATTTCCCTCCAATCTGTATGATCGTGATGAATGTGATCGAATTACACCTTTAATGCAAATTTTTGCCTGTTATTCTGTACTTAAAAATTTAACAAATATTAAATAATTCAGGAATTAAATACCATTGGAAACTTTTGTATATTCCTCCTCAAAATCATCAATATCAATCTTTGAACCATATGGTATTGTTGGAAGAGAGCCTCTTATTTCAATATTTAATTTCATATAATTAAAAACATCTGGTCCTAAAAACTGTTCTTTTACAGTAACATGATGACCACTTTGTGGAAACTTAATTTCAGCTGTTCTGTTGAATGCACCTCCTAACAAAAAACATAAAACAGGATGCAAAATTAGTTAATATGATAGGTGACACAGGCAATTTAATTAAAGATAATTTAATATATAGAAAATATTAATTTATGCACCTGTTGTCATAAACCCATTTCTTGCATCTTTTCCTGGTAAAGCAAATAGCCATCCAATTACTCCACCTAAGATGGTTAATGATTGCATATCATAGCCAATTGATGGAGGTGCTCGACTCACTGCTGTGTAGGTTCGGCCGTCAGCTGTTACTACGTATGCGTGAAGATCAACGTCTTCAAGTTGAAAATCATTTAAAATACCATTCACTTTACCATTCAATCTTTGTGGCTCACCTGAATAATATTGTAAATAGATGCATTATGATAATTATATAAATAATCTGAAATATCTGATGCTCATACCTTTCAATAAACAATTTCTTCCATTACCAAAATGAGTATTTAAACATTTGCAACAAAATCCTTCTTCATAATCAACACATTTGGATGTGGGTGGACAAGGTAATAAAGTGTTTGCACAAGATGATAGTTCAATAATATTTGGATCCAAATCTAAATCAGCTGGTAAAACATTACCATTACTTTCTGTTTTACCAATATGAAATAACCAAACACCTGGTTGTCGGATATTTGACATCCTAAGTGAAATAATGAAATGAAAATGATAATGAAACATTTATCTCTAATATATCATTTTAAAATAAAAGTTTAAGAAAAAGAAATTATTACCTATCAAAATTTCGTGCTTGATCAGTGCCTGACCCACGTAATGTATAAAGCCTGCCATCACCAGACATAAAACCAGCTTGAGCTCTAGCATCAGGTAAATTGGCATTTTTTCCATCTCCCTGAATCCACTGGATTCCTCCTTCAGGATAAAGGAAGTATGCATAACTATCTTCTCCATCACTAACAATTACCACTTGAAATGTATTCACCTTAAAATATATTTTTTAAACTTTAATATTTTTTCATTTTCTAATAATGTATAGTCAGAGAACAATTAAAATATTTAATCATATAATTAGATAATAAATCCTAATAATTTATTATGCCATTATATATATTTTCATAGTAAAAGAAGTTGCAATTCATTTTAATATAACTATCTTCTATTGAAATAAATTTTATAGGAAAAATGTTATTTTAATAATAGTTTTTCTATGAAAGTGGTTTTTAAAAGTTTTTTAAACTAAAAATTGAATATCTGCTAAATCTATTTATTTAATTGTTATTGACTTAGAGAATAGAAAATTTTTCAAAGTAGTTACTGCTTAGTTAATTTAGTGTTTACTAGAAATTAAAATAATTGACAAAAAATTTGAGTCAAGATGCAAGTCACAATACAAGCATAATTTCCTGAAAGCAGCCATCAGTGTTTCAACTCATTAATCAGAAATATCTCATAAAATCAAAGCATTTAATGTGTATTTACATATATATATCTCAATAATCTGATTAATTCGGCTGTTGGTTGGTTGATTATTATATTTACAGTATCACAGAATATAAATAATTGACCTGAGTTTCAATTCAAGACATTCATCATAGTTACAGTAAGTTAAAAGGTAGTGGGAAAGATGGGTTATACAAAAAGAAAAACTGAATTTGAATGTAAAACTGAAGATCAGTAAAGAAGAAGAATGTAAAGGTAAAAAGTAGTTAAAATGTTAACATTTTAATAATTTTTTTTTCTGTCTAATTTAATTTTAAGACAGCTTGTAGAATAAGCTAATTGGTAAACAGTCTTATCAATGGAAATTATTTACTACTAATTTACTCTATATATGATAGGATCCTCCCTGTCAAGAGTAACACTAGCATGTTGTCATTGTAGATTTGTCTCTAGATCCAGATGACCCTTCAAGTATCAAGTATACTACAGATATTATTGACATTATAATCTTTTTTCTCTGAGGTTATTTTAGCATTTACTATTATGAGAGTGAGTTAAAAGAAATTGTCAAAAGTATAGCAATAACAAATTCTGAATTTATATCATTGTAAATAACTATTATTGGTGAATCTGTCCAATAATTTTCATGGAAATATGATGATATGGTACTTCATTTGATCGTAATAGCAAAGCAAATGCCATCTACTGCCCACCTATAATAAAATGGAAGTTGATCATGACAAACAGTACATAGCCCTGAAATAGTGTTTCATTTGTGAAAAACAGCTTATGAAACGTTGAAATAGGTGTATAGTGAAGCAAATCTATAATCCACAGAATTTTGATCAAAATTTCTCTGAAGGTCAGCTATCAACCTCAAAGCTGACAGGTCTACAGAATCCTGTATGAGAGTGTTGACTGAAGAACTCATTAACACTACTGGTGTGATTGTTTGAGAAGACCGCCATTGATAAACTTGCCAATATGTCAAACATCTGCCATGAGTATGTCCATACAATTCTGCATGACCATTTGCATATGAAATGCATTTGCTGTCAATGGGTTTCCTGGTTTCAGAGGCTTGAGCAGAAGCATGTTCAGATGGAAGTACAAGAGTTATAATGTGTGACACTAGTGACAAGTTATGAAGCCTTGCTACTTCACTTGATCCTCAGGGCAAATAGGCAAGCACAATGTGGAAATCACTTATCTCTCAATCCAAAGAAGGAAGTAGTTGCTCTGTCAGTTGGCAACATAATGGTCATACATTTGGTTGATGAGGAACAGTGTACCAATAGGTTGTGCTGTTACTTGTAACAGTCACCAGCTATTACTAATAGTCAGTTCTATACATGATTGAATCACTTCTGCAGGAACCAACAGGAACATTAAATATTCCTATGAGCAAATGATGACAATATTCTAACATGGTGGCTGAGTTTTTGATTGAGAAAAATAGCTCATACATTCCACATTAACTATGCAGCCCATATTTACTATCCTGCAAACTTTCCAATTTCTAAAGTCAGAGTCCTATCATAAAACAAAGCAGAGAATTGCCTTCATTGCTTTGATCACTTCTGTCTGCAACAACAGTGATCAAAGCAGTGAAGGCAATTCCTGCTTTGATCACTGTTGTTGCAGTGATCAAAAGAGGAATTGCCTTCACTTCACTTCACTTCACTTCACTGTTCAGAACATCTCAAAAGATGAGTTACTTGTGTCTTCAAGGAGTGGCAGAAGTGAATTGAATTTCATGGATAATATTTTTTTAAAAAATGGCTACACTCTAAAATGACTTTCATGTGAAAAAATCAGTCTTAATTTGTTTTGACTTGCCATTGTAATATTTGATAAAGAAAATGGAAGTGAAATGAAATGATAAAATTTTTATTGTTCAGCTGTCGTTTTGTATTTTACACACAATTCGTTTTAGATGGTTCCATCTTAAATATTTCATTTTTTTAATTTTTTTTATTTTATAATTACATCTGAAATGAATTGTTAACAAAAATAAAATGAAAGAAATGGGAAAAAATGTTTGAGGCGATACTTTCTAACTGGTTAGGTGTCATGTTTTCAATGGCAAATTCAGAGATATGCTGCATATCTTTGAATTTGCCAGAGATATACAATAGTGCAGATTATTGCAACATTTTTAGTTTTATTCTAGAAATTTTTATGGGATATATATCAGTGTGGGTTATACACAAGAAATTAAAGACTTCAATTACATTAAGCTTGTTCAATTAGTAGATGCCTTTAATTAAAAAATGCTTGCAATTTATTTAGAGAAAAATGTCAAATTATTTAAATTAATAATACTTACCAAGCCAACACCTTTTTCATAATGTCCAACTCCATCCCAGGTTGCAATAAATATACTTATGGGTTGAAAATTTGAAGATTGAGAGAAATGACGGTGAATATCTCTCGAAGCTCGTTCCAAAAGATCAGCAGCTCTAGTTTCTCTTCAAATAGAATTAATACATATAATAAAATTGATAGTTCAAAATATTTATATTTTAATATATACTGCTATATGTTAATTTACCTGTAATAAATTCTTCCTGTACCCCTTGTATCTACATCAGAATATAATGGTGCAATTATTGGATATGTCAATGGAAACTGTGCATTAAAAAATGCTGGTACTTCTGTTAGAAATGAGAGCAGTCCATTATCATTGACCTAAAAATAGTTTATTGGAAAAATAAATATATTATAGCAAATATAAGAAAATTTTATTTATTTATACAATAAACCTTTGCTTTAAGGAATTTGTACTATCTAAAATATTTTCTTGTATTGTTATGTAGTTGTAAAAATGGAAATAAGAAATTCAAAATATCTGTGATTAAAATGCAAGATAATTTTATTGCAAATGTAAATAAATATATGTTTTCTGCAGACATGTAGAGGACTAGAGAAAAGTATGATTAGCATTCACTGTATTTTGCATCTGCAAAATGCATTTCCAATAGAATAAATTTTCAAACTTTGTAAAATTTGAACTGAAATTATAGGTATTTAAATAGAAAAACAATTTTCTGATCATTTCCTATCCTAAGGACAATATTAAATTTGAGCTACTTAGGTAAATTAATATTTGTTTATGATTTTTGACACTATAAAAATCTTTGTTCTTAATTGCAATGATACTTTTTGTATTAAATCAGGATTTGTCATTTTATAATTTTACAAATTAGTTTATTTTGCATATATTTTTGTTTCTTTTGTCAGCATTTTTGTTTGCCTATATTGAATCATTTATAAACAATATATGAGTGACGTTTTGTTCATCTAATTTTATTGTGGATCTCTGTTTCTGCACAAGAGAATAAAACAATAGCATTTTTCGAATAACAAATCATCATAATGTTATATAATACAGTACTGAAATCTGATTAATCATTTGAGAAAATGTTAATTTTTATGCCTACATTTTAGTACATTAAAGTGAATTTAAAAGTGAAAATTACGCCTACATTAAAGTGAGGTACAATGGATGCTTCGGATGAAATGAAATATGTCATTGGTTTGCTTAGCCATCTGTATTAATTTCCTCACCATGCAATGTGCTCAATCTTACTAAGATAATGATTGGCGCTTACATGGAAAATTGAATTATCAATCATCATCTAATGGGAACATGTATAACAATGAAAGTTTGTTCATGGAATACTGCTGAATTCACAGAACATAATGAAGAAACATAACAGATCAAAGATATTTGTTGCTGTAATCTTCTAATGAGAGGAAGAAGAAATTGGAGCTTTATACTCTATCTGCGGCTCTGGCCAGATTCTATATAATGAAATTACAAAGTCATGAGAATTAATTTATGCAGTTTCAATTGCACAAAGGGGGGAAAACAAATAATATAATCTGGACAATCTGTCAAGATATAGAGGGTACTAGCTCTGGGTCCCGTGATTGCTCTCCAGGGTCCTGGGTAGAATAATTCAAAAATAGCAATAAACAATGGTAGATATGAGTTTCAAGTTCTGTTATTGGGCTCATTAATGCATAGAGAGTAAAACAAATGATGTATATATATTTTTTTAATGGAAGAAAGTTATGCATCATAAGAATTTTATATTATTTTTTTAGGAAAAAAAAATCCCAATTTAAGTCCTTTCGATTTTATAAATTTATTTAAACGTTTAAAAGTTTAATTAAGAAAATGCTTCATGATGATGATAAAATTATCTTATTGTAGGCTGTGTGGGCAGTCTGAATTTTTATGTTAACTAAAAGGATTTTTTCACCATGTAGGCATTGAAACGGCCTTTTAAATCATGCCCATTGTGTTCGGCCAGGCTCACAATGGATGCGGTCGGGTAGTGAGGGAGGGCGCCTGATATATCGGGGACAGACAGCCCATGAAAAATTCCTACTGCTGCTCGTCCGGATTCGATTCTGGGACACCCAGAGTGATAGGTCGACATTTAACCGTTTCGGCCATCCAACCGCCTATTGAACAGATTTAATAGATTTCTAGTTTTCTACTGTTACTCGACGTAATTTATATCTTTTTTTCAACTGCCACTGACTGGAATCTTTCCTAGTCTTCCTCTTGTCCTTGCCCATCAGTTTGTTTCTTGTTTATAAATTTCTGTTGATATTACTACAGATTATCGCTGAACATCTCTAGCGCGTAACAAAGCACAATAATCAATGGCCTTGTGCTCAATCCCGCAGAAAATTATATAGATAAATAAATGGGAAAGGAAAAGTCGTACAAAACGTTTTGTACGAAACTTTTTTCCTATCTATCTATCTGTGGAAATAAAAATTATTACTTGGTGTATACGTTAATTTTATAAATGGGTAAAATCAATGAAAATATTCTAAGAATTGAAAGATTATTTAATAATTTCGTTTTGTAAAATTCCTAAAAAACATTAAATATATTTCTTTTATTATATTCCGAAGGCTCTAAGAGTAGAGATCGCTGAAAAACAGTAAAAGTAAACTGCAATGACATACGCAACAACCTGGACGATTTTTTTTTTACTCTTTTCGACCTGTGGGCACTAAGAGGGCCTCTTTTTGCAAGCCCATTATGGATTCGGCCAGGCCCACAATGGGGTTGCCGGGTGGTGAGGGACGGGGCCCGACATATCCGAACGGACCAACCCCCGAAAGGTTCCTGGGGATTTTACGACCCGTTCGGATTCGAACCCGGGTCCCCCAGAGTGGTAGGCTGTCACCTTGACCATCAGGCCGTCGTAGTTTGTTTAGTTATAGCAACGCAACACTTGGGCGATCTGTCTAGGGGAATGCCTTCCGGGAGGTCTTTTTAGGGGAAACTGGCCCCTATTTAAGCGTTACAGACGTGGAGAAAACCCAGAAAACTGCACGTGGCCAGCCCGTCCGAGCGAGGCGCGAACCCACGACCAAACTCCCAATGTTCAAGGAACGAAGACCGCTTGGCCAGAAAGAGTTTAAAAATAAAAAGAAAACCCGAATTTATTAGGTACAGTAGTCTTGTAACCCGACATATATCGGACCGGCGGGTGTCGAATTAAAACAAATTGTCGGATTACTGATTTTGTATGTATGCACTGTACTACATATTATACAGTAAAAAAACTCACTTGGTTCATCATCTTAATAACGATTGTGATTAGTTTGCCGACCGCACGTGTAATAAACAACTAGCCGCTTACGGTATACACGTACAGTACTGTACTGTACTGTACATAAGTCTGTCACATACATCAACAAGGGGTAACACGAAAATTTAATGTGCGCTGATGTTCAGAGTGTGGGATTGGCGAGTGGCAGACTCTACTATATTTTAAAAAATTCGAATAGCTACAAAACGATGCCAAAACATGCACTACGTCAAAATTGTCGCTTTCACTCTTTTCACAATAATCGATTCATTTATTTTTAAATATATTTAATTAAGATGTATTCCCAATACATGGTTGACTACCGAATGCAAATTAAACAAACACTGTGTATTCACAATAATTCTGAATAGTCGGCATCGGTGGTAGTTTACGATTAATATTTTGATCAACCGTAAACTTTTTGGTTTTTTAGCAAAACAAAAACTACTGTACTTTTATTTCAGGCGACGATGTATTGACACTTCTATTAATTAATACGTGTATTATCATATTGTTTTGAAAAATTCAATTGGAAAATATCAAAATACAGTTGTCCCTTGATAATCCGACAGGTATGGGACCAAAGGGTTGTCGGATTACCAAAAGTGTCCGGATTACGAAAGTGACTACATATTTGGTATTGCTTTGCTAGCAGTAGCCTACAATATTCCCTACTCCAACTGCGCACGGAAAACACACGAAATGTGTGTCATCGTGTAAGAATTGGGTGGGGAGATTCATGTCACGACATGCTTCTGTGCAAGCAGACACGTAACGAGGACGGGGACTATGGTGACCTTAACGGGAGGTGCGTCGGACTACTGAGCATGTCGGATTACAAAACGTCGGACTATCAAGGGACAACTGTACTCGTAATAAACAAATCGCATATTGTACAAACTGATGTTATGTCTATTTTAGTTTTTGTAAATTATGGCTTTTTTATATATTAAAAAGAAAAACTTTTTATTAAGTGGTCTTTATGTGCATGCCCAACAAATGTTCGACCCATGCCAACAATAAGACAGTTGAATTTCTAGACACGTCAGACTCCTTTAATGAAATTTTCCGAAATGGCACGAACACGATTCTCCGGATTCACCAGACAGGTAAGCTAGTGCCTTTACCACTTCGACTATCCATCCGCCAATATAAGAACATTAATATTTTTAATGAGCCATACTCAGCTAATAACTGTGGTCTGAAAGTCCACAGTTATTGGAGAACCCCTTTTTTTTATTTATTACGTCGCTATCGATATTTCTACAATCGAGAATCATTTGACTATTTACAATCGTTACAAATATAAAATACGTATGATTTGTTGTAAATAAGAGAAACGTGCGAAATAGTATAAGGTGCTCCACAAAAGTATAGAACCGTTCAAAAAAATTGGTCTTTTAAGGTCAGAACATGCACTAATAGATAAAAAATAGATTTTTTTACGTGTAATTCAGCACTTAACTTATAAAAACATAATTTTAGGAAACTAATTCCTGGCTCATTGCGGAATAGCGAAGAAGTCAATTTATATACTGCCACATAAGTATAGAACCGCCATCTTTCTCGCAAGTTTGAAGTGTGAAAGTATTATTATTATTTTTTTTTTTTATCATGCTTTGCGGTACCCATTTTAACAGATTTTAAGAAAGAACAAATTATAGCTTTGAGAAGCACTGATTTAAATCATCAGGCAGTAGCAAACAGCATCAAACAATCAAGAAAGGTCGTTCAGCATTATTACATCACGAAACCGTTCGAAGGGTTTTACATGGCAACAACAACAACAATGTTTGGTCTCAAATGAGAAGTACCCAGCTCTTAAGCCTGAGCACAAAGCTGCCCAACTCAATTTTGCTAGGAAAAATACGGCAACTCAATGGAATAGGGTAAGTTTTTTGTTTTGTTTAGATGTTTCGTGCTAGCACAAGAAATAACAACCTTTTTGTCATATAGATAATATTTTCGGACGAAAAAAATTTAATTTAGATGAGCCAGATGGTTTAGCATAATTTACAAAAAAAGCTCAAGTACTTTTCGTAAAGGAATTTCGGTGGTGGGAGTGTTATGGTTTGGAGTGCTTTCTCTGCATTGAGAAAATTTGATTTGGCATTCGTTATCTGTCGCATGAACAGTGCCGACTATCATCAAGTTCTGGAGAATAAATTGCTGCCATACAAACATGGATTCAGAAGAATTCCTCTTATTTTTCAACAGGACAACGCATCTATCCATGTATCACGAGATACGAAACAGTGGTTTGAAAGTAAACGAATTGGCCGGTTCGTTCTCCTGATTACAACCCTACAGAAAACATTTGGGGGGATTTTCGTTTATCGAATTTATGACCAAAATCATCAGTACGCTGACATTGAACACTTAACACTTAAAACAAGCAATTGTCACTGTTTGAAACTCTTAAAGCATCGATCATAAAAAGTCTTGTTGATAGCGTGCCAAATTGCATTTTCAATGTTATCAGTATTTGAGGTGTGCAAATAAATTACTAAATTAAACTGAACAATATAAGAAACGTAGCTACATCATATGTGTAATTCCTAACTTAAATTTTCAGCGGTTCTATACTTTTGTGGAGCACCTTATTTGTATAATATGAACACCCAGAATTTATTATAAAGTTTGTAAAATAAAATGAAATCTATTCTAAATGCCACTTTTTAGCAGAGAAAATCGCTGTAAATTTTAATGATATGGGAGTATATAATGATTATTAATTAAAACACCGTAGTTATAATAAAATTATAAAATGTATAATGTAATATTTGAACCGATATAATTAAGAAAAATAATCAATCACTACGTTGATAATCTCATGAAAATATTGATAGCCTATTTGCTACAATTTATTTTTAAAAATGTTCGTTAAAACTGATATAATGGTTATTCGTCTACTATTTCTACGTTTTATTAAACTAAATAGATCCGAATTCTTAAATGAATAAAATGTTTTCTCAGTTAATTAAAAAAAAAAAAAACAATTGGCCCTATAAAACGAGATGGTTACACAAATCGATTTATATAAAGTTCAAAATCATAATCTTCAGATCAATCTCGAGTTATCCTAATTTAATTACAACTAAGTTAAAGGGTCAAAATATTTAGGATGATACATATGTGCCGGTGAATACAGTAGATCCCCCCTATAACACTGTTGATAATTCCGTGTTATATGAATTCCATGTTGTACGAGTCACTTAGATTTTACAAATACGTGTGCCGGGCTGTGAACGGCTCACGTATTTGTAAAATCTAGGTGACTCGTACAACATGGAATTCATATAACACGGAATTATCAACAGTGTTATAGGGGG